TAACAACATGCAAAGGCATTTGACTGTGTGGATCAAAACGAATTACAGCTAATGTTGAGATGAATGGGAATCCCAGGACACTTAGCTGTGTTCATGTGAAACCTTTACATAGACCAAGAGGCTATAATCTGAGCAGAGCAAGGGAACACTGCACGGTGAGGTGGTGTGGATAGGGCAGGGTTCAGATCCATCATTACCAGACTCAACATGAGTTAGTCAGCCCGAGGGCATGTAACAACAACATCCACAGTTAAAAACTGTCTTATCCTCGATTTGTTCTCATTTTCACCTTCGGGTCAAAGGCTGGCTTGTTTTCCCTGGAGGTTGCCTTAATCCTTCCACATCCACCAGCCACACTAAGCTCACCAGAGAGCCAAGTGGAGCAAGTAAGCCTGGCCAGTAACCCCTGCAGGAGGGCTGCCACAAGAGGATCCTAACATGTTTTATAGCCATCTTCCCACCTACCCTATCGTTAGCATGTCAGAACTAATGGGCTAATTTATAAGTTACACTGAGTGAGTTAGAAATGAGGGCAAAAAGTCCAAGTTCTATTCTTCTCATTATATTATTATTATTATTATTATTACTACTTTTCCCCCATTCACTTAGTCCTTAGGACCTTTATTTCTAAGTAAGAAGTGGTGAAGGTTCAACAAACTGATGTGCTGAGCTAAGCCATTAATCAGTTTCTGAACACTGGACCTGTTTTTGTACTGTCATGTAGGGAAATGGATGAAACTCCTTCCAGGGTTCTCCTCCTCGTGTAGGATTCTGTGCTACGTATTTACTCAATCAAAAGCATTAATCAGTCAGATGATTCTTACTCAAGAAGCTCCCATGTGCCAGAACAGAACTGTGCTCTATGGAGTGAAAAATGGCTGAACTGCAGCGAAATATTGCCAGCATTTTCTTCCAAGATGCTTCTTGGTAGATGGACTCTCCAGTGTTTTGGTTTGCTAAGCCCCTCAGCCTTTGCATTACCCAGGGCTTCCACCAGTCTGTAGGTACTCTTGAATCCTTATCCCTTTTTTAAAAAAAAAAATTAATTTTAATGAAAGTTTAGAGAGACTTTGGATTTCCATTCATTCATTGTTATGCTTTTCTCCCTGCCCAACCTCCCTCCCCAGTTCACTCTTCTCTTTGAAAAAAAAATTCTTTCTTTGTTATACAATCCCTCTCAAGTCCACTCCACTATGCAGCATTTGTTCTGGACTCCTGTTATGACAATAATATCTAATCATATATCCCTTTTAAACAGTTCTCTTCCTCCTTATTTTAAAAGTCATTGCCTTAGCACTGGAACTGACTCACAGCAGACACTCCTGGGTTGCAAAGGCTGTCTGTCAGTCACATGGAAGGAGACTGCCCTTCTTTCTTTCTTAAAGTGGCTGATGGATTCGAACCACTAGAGAGGCACAGCCTTTGGATTAACAACACAATGCTCTATGGCTATGCCACCAGAACTCCCTAAACTATTACTTCTAATGACAAACAAATGGATAACCCTTAAAGCACCCAAGAATACATGCATGAAATTAAAGGGAGCCCTGCCTGTCTCCCGGATTTAAGTCAACTTGGACCCTACACAGTACTGGGTTTCAGGTGCAACCTCTGGAGTTCTACAAGTGTCTGAAGCAGGAGTGGTGTAGACACAACTCTGTTTACCCAGCCAGCCAAGGGCTACCCTGCTGGAGCCAAGCTGGCGAGACACGACCAGCCTCACAAAGGGGCCTTGTCACGCCAGAGGTGGCCTCAATGGCCTTCTGTTACGCCTTCTGGGAATTTGATGTGTCATGTCAATCCAGCTGCCAAGTGTGGCAATCAATAGGCTCAAACCCCTCCTACATTTCTTCATCTTTGTCACTCATAAACTTGAGACAAATAATGCTTTCCACAAATAACAACATAGCTCCCAAAGAAGTGAGTCCCTCTTCCTCTGACCAGTTCTCTCACTTCATAGTCAACTACTGCTAAATGGCAACAAGTAAAATGGCCCAATCTATACAGTTCCTTCTCCCCCTGCCCTAAGACTTTACAGCCAAGGAGAAGCAGAGAGTCCTCATCTGGAGATAATGAGATATTTTTACTTTTACCAAAAACTAGAGCTGAGAGAAACCTTTCAGGGGAAAACAATGTAAAACATCACAAACCAAAGTCTGGTATCATTCTCAGACAGACAGCATAAATTATTTTAAACATCACCATCAAGTCAATGTCGTGTAAATATCAGAGACTAGAAGATCTTTCCATTTTACTCCTCAAACCTGTGTAAGTTTCACTTTGTCCTCTGACTTAAGGAACTGTACAGGAGAAGAAACGCCTTGTGGGCTCTAACTTGGACTCTCCAGGGGAGCCTGTCGATGGTCACTCACAGAAGAACGGGTTCTGCTGCCTCTTAGAACTCTACAATGTGGTTGGGCAGCTTCGAAGCTGACATTCTCGTGACCGTGGGGAAATGTGTCAACAGCTGGCATGTACAAAGTGGCAGGGCTGCCAGCTCTCTTCTTGCCAAGTGGAAGATATGTGGCCAAAGATGTGCCTTGCACAGAGACCCTAAGGTTGTACGGGGAAGCTCTGGTTCGTTTAACTTAGAAACAAAGCCCTCTGCAATGGAGCAGGACTGGGTCGTGTTTCATTCTGCAATACAGAGTCGTTATGAGTCGGAATAGACTCCACGGCATCTAATAAAATACATAACACCACAAACACGAGTCGATGAACTCAGCAATATGCAATGGCTGATTGTTTACTCTCCTCATGCCCCAAGCTCTCCCTGCACAAACTCATCAAAATCTAAAGACTAAAGCCAAAAAACCCACTGTTGTTGAGTTGATTCCAATTCATAGCAATACTCCATGGGTTGCTGTAAATGTTTCTTTCTAGGAGGTGACTGCCCATTTTATTCTTACTGAGCAGCTGTTAAGATTCAAACCACTGACTTTTCCATTAATAGTACAACATGTAACACACTGCATCACCAGAGCTCCTTATCTAAACATTCAAACGCAAACTCATTGTCGAGTCAGAACCAACTCCAAGCTGATCCTCCAGCAGATGCATCCGAGAGCTGAACAATGATTAAGAATGACAGAAAAAGAAATGATGCCTCTGAGCTGTGGTGTTGGAGAAGAAAACGGAACATCCCATGGACGGCCAAGAGAACAAACAGATACGTCTTGGAGAGGGTGCAGCCGGAGTGCTCTTTGGAGGCAAGAATGATAAGGCTTCACTTCACATACTTTGGACATATTGGTAGGAGGAGCTCTTCTTTGGATGATCATGGCTCTTTTATGATGCTGAGAAGGGTGGAGGGTCAGCAAAGGAAAGGAAAACCCTCAACCAATTGGACTGACATGGTGACTGACGCAATAGGCTCTTGTGTGTCAGGAAGAGTAAGGATGGTACAGGATAGAACAAGGTATACATCTTTTGTTCAGAGGGTCACTATGAGTGGTACCTGGCTCCATGACACCTTACAACAACAACAAGTCACACATGAGAAAACTGTCCCATCTCTCTCCCGTGGATCTGCTGGAGATTTCAAACTGCTGGAGAGGTGTGGTCTCTAGGTAAGCAATGTGACTCCATACAGACTATGCAACCAGAACTGATGACTTCAAAACCACCATCTTCAGACCCAACTTGACTCCTGGAAACTTGATTTCCAACTGCCTTGAAATGCCTCATCCCTCAACTTTCAGATCAGGTCAATAACTAAATGTAGTCAATTCTTAACCTCTTAACTCCTCTCACTTTCCAGCATCTCTTCTTTAGACCATCCCTGCCAACTGTCTCCAGCTCTCCTCCCTCTAGTTCATCCTGCACTGCACTGAAGTATTCCCAATGGATGCCCAGACATCAGTCCCCACTTACAAACTCTGTTGTCCCCTTTACAGGACACAGTCTAAACTCCTTAGCCTGATTCTCGACTTCCATCTGGTCTTCCATCTGTGTCCCTGCAAACACATCTCCTGCCACTTCTCGCCACATCTGGTCGCCTGGATTTCCTATCTCTGTGGCTGTGGTCATTTGCTCTGAAATGCTTTATCTGCTGAAATGGCATTCCTTCTGAATGGTGCATCCTGCTTCTTTACCTCCACCCTCCATTCTTCCATCACCTTCCCTTTAGAACCTAGCGCACACATCACGTCCTCACCTCCTCAGGGAAGCTCATCTCCATTCTCTCCATCCCTGGCTTTTGCTGCCCCCTTTGTTCCCCTAGCATTCTTGGCACATTTCTTTGACAAAATAGCATGTGGTACACCACAAATGGCTCAGATGCTGGCTTTCCACAAGATAACGCTGTGAGCATCCTGGGAGCAGGGGCCACATCTTTACCTTGGAGACCCAAACCCATGGCTGTGTACACTTAGGAAGTGCTGAACAACCAATCTATCGGAAGAACACACTGGAAGATGGGGATGGCAAGGGGGATCATGACAATAGAGTAGAGAGGACAATGGTTGGACAAGAAGGCTACATAGGTCAAGCCCCCGCTGCCTCAAAGTTGTGTACAGTGATGCTTTTGACTAACCTCCTCAGACCTTGCTTTCTTATCTGCTGAATGAGGGATTGTACAGTGTGATTTCTATGATCCCTTTTAACTCCATGGTTCTAGTTTTCAGAGGACATTTTCCTTTAAAGTCTACACTGAAGAAAAACTTGGCAAAACTCCTCAGTAATAATATGTTCCAGTAGTTTGGACGCGCTCCACAAAGCCAGCCAGGAAAATGACCACTTTGCCCGGGCACTCGGCAGTGCGCCCAGGGATGGCCCACAACCAGGGCTCCTCCTCAAAGCCCCGACCGCCCTCTGATAGACTGGGAGAAAGTCCCAACGGCCCTCTGTTCTGTTTCACACTACAAACTTTGACCACCAGTTTATTAAATATTATGCACAAGGAAAATACTGGTAACAAAAATCCAAAATGCCTTAAGAGCTAAAACTATAGCAGCTAGATTTTGCAAAGCCGAGTCAAACCAGACAGGCTTGATATTCACCTTGTCACCCCGTACTCCGGGGGTGGCTGGTACCTCAGGACAGCCACTTCTGTTCTCGCAGGCTGAGGAGGAGGGTAGGGCTTGACAATCTCATGGAGCATCCCAGGGTGCTGGTCACTGTAGAAAAGTCCATGTTCCTGGGTCTTGTTGACCGGGGATATCATCTGCTTGGTTTTGAAGGGGTACTCAGGTGGAGGGCCACGAGGGTCCAACACCTTACCCACAGATGGGGCTGGAGAGGGTCCCCCTCCTGTCTTAAACCCCTTTCCATTCCCTGAGCCAGGGAGGTGCTGCTTAGCCCCGTTCCTCTCTAAGGACAGCTGCATGATTCGCTCACTCAGAGAGCGGACATGGCCCTGCTTGAGTTCTTTCAGGGCCTCATCCTTATGTGCCTGTCCACTGTTCGCACGGTTCACCGTGGGCCGCCCCTCAGTCCGGGACTTCTGACTGGTGCCCCCCGCCATGTAGTAGCCGTGACCCACAGCCCCTTGCTGCTGTTGCTGCTGCTGCCCCCTGAAGAACTGCGACTGGGCTTTGGCCTCCTCATAGGTGGGCAGCTCCTCATTGTTCTGCTGAGGCTGTGTGGACCGGACCTGTTTCTCCATCACCGTATTGTCCACCTGGTGTTCCTGACCCTGCGGTTCCTGGCGTGCCGACTGGTAGACCATTTGTGGGTCTTCTTGGGTGAGGTTTTCTGTGGAAGAAAAGCTGTTTGTCGGGTGGGCTGGTCCTGCGCTCCCGGTGGCCTGGTGCTGGATGGCCAGCAGGTTCATGTTCTCGGTCGGGGTGCCATACCGCAGCTGTTCCTGGATCAGCCTCTGTAATACTGTTCCAGCGGCTGCATCCTCGGAACCTCTCATTTCCACCTCTGAGAGCCTCGGGAAGTTCGGGGAGTGGAATTTACAAAGAGGATCCTCAACTGAAAGATAAACATAGGAAGAGAAAGATCAGCTGCTCCACAGGAGACATAAGCCTGTAAGTATGTGGTGAATAATTAATATTCTAATAACAAAGCATCTAAAGGCAATATTTCACATACATTAACATCTCCATTTAGCAGCAGTACTGCATAGAAATATTTATCCAACTCAGTGCGACTTCCTACTCTCAATTTTTCTTCTCAATCTTTCAAGATTTTGCTCCACCCCACCCCTTTTAACATCCCCATTTGTCTTCTTGTCACTGTATAAGCATGTCATCTTTCCCATCATAAAAGAGTGTGTGTGTGTGTGTGTGTGTGTGTGTGTGGTGTGTGTGTTTCTGTGATATTTTAGGAAACTCTGGTGGCCTAATGGGTATGGAGTTGTGCTGTCAACCCAAAGGCATACAGTTTTAATCCATCAGCTGGTCTGAAGGAGAAAGACAGGCAATCTCCTGCCATGTGATGTTCAGCCTCCAAATACCCGGTGGAGGATCAGCTATGAGTCAGTTCCAACTCGATAACATCTAACAACAACAGCAGCATAAATGTTTTAAAAAGCCCAAACTCATACTTACAAAAAGCACCTTCTCTTGGTCCTACCATAACTTCTACCTCCCCTCTTTCCTTCTCGTCTTGCTGTCTTCAGCTCTGGAATGTTTCATCCACTGTCCTTCCAACTACTCTCAGGCAGTAACCAAATTCACAGAGAATTTTCCAGCTCTCATATTACAAAACCTTTCTAAAGCATCTGACATGGTTATTGCCTGCTTCTTCTTTATTTTTTTTTAATTAGTTAAGGAGCTGAATAGAAGATTTTAAAGGGCTGCTCGGGAAGACAAGACAAAATATTATAATGAAATGCACAAGGAGCTGGAGTCAGAAAATCAAAAGGGCCAAATTCGCCCAGCATTTCTTAAGCTGAAAGAACTAAAGAATAAAGTCAAGCCACAAGTTGCAACGCTTAGGGATGATATGGGCAGAATATTGAATGAGTATATAGTCATTGTACCAAAAAGAATTGGCTGACACAGAGAATTTAAAGAAACAACACATAAGCAAGAGGCAATGGTGATGAAGGAGGATGTTCAGGCTGCTCTGAAGGACTTGGCAAAAAATAAAGCCCCAGGAATTGATGGAATACCAATTGACATATTTCAGCAAACAGACACTGCCCTGCATGTGCTCACCAAGTTGTGCCAGGAAATCTGGAAGACAACTACTTGGCCAACTGATTGGAAGAGATCCATATTTATTCTCATTCAAAAAAAAGTGACCCAACAGAGTGTGAAAATTATTGTACAGTATCACTAACATCACACATTAGCAAAATCCTACTGAAGATTATCCAGAAAAGGCTTGAACAGTACATTGACAGAGAACTACCAGAAATACAGGCTGAGTTTAGAAGAGGTCGTGGCACTAGGACATTTTTGCCGATGTCAGATGGATCTTGGCAGAAAGCAGAGAGTACCAGAAGAATGTCTATCTGTGTTTCATTGACTGTGTGATAGCATTTGACTATGTGGATCATAATAAATTGTGGCTAACCTTGAGGAAAATGGGAATCTCAGAACACTTGATCAAGCTTATACAAAACCTATACTTGGACCAAGAAGTAGTCCTCAGAGCAGAGCAAGGAAACATTGCATGGTTCAAAATAAAGAAAAGAGTGTGTCAGGAATGCATCCTATCCCCGTACCTTTTCAATCTGTATGCAGAATAGATCATTTGGGAAGCAGGGCTTTATGAGGAGTGTGGGTGGTATCAGGATAGAAGGAAGACTCATTAATAACCTACAATATGCAGATGACAAAACCTTGCTTGCTGAAACTAAAGAAGACCTGAAGCACTTGCTGTAAAAGGTCAAGGACTGTAGTTTGCAATATAGATTGAAGCTCAACATCAAGAAGACAAAGATTCTCACCACTGGGCCAATTGGCAGCACCATAATAGATGGAGAAGAGATTGAGGTTGTTTGCAATTACAGTTTGCTTAGATTCACAATCAATACTCTTAACACCAGCAGTCAGGAAATCAAAAGACGGATTGCACTGGGAAAATCTGTAGTCACAGACCTCTCCAGAGTGCTGAAGAGCAATGATGTCAGTGTAGATACAAAGGTGCACCTAATCCAGGCCATGGTTTTCTCAATTACTTGTTATGCTTCAGTTAGACAATGACTAACGATGACAGAAGAAAAATAGATGCCTTCGAGTTGTGTTACTGGAGAAGTCTTGAAAATACCATAGACTGTCAAGTAAACAAATCAGTTTGTCTTGGAGAGGGTGAAACCAAATTTCTCTGGAGGCCAGGATTTTGAAGCTCCGCTTCAGTTACTTTGGGCATGTGGCCAGGAGAGATCAGTCCTTGGAGAAGGACATCATGCTTGGAAGGGTGGACGGACAGGGCAGGAGAGGGATATCCCAGATGACATGGATTGATACAGTAACTGGGGTGATGGGGGTTAGTGTGTTGGAGTTAGTGGGACTGGCTCAGGACAGGGAAGGGTTCAGAGTTACTATACATAGGGTCGGATCATTATGCATCACAGGTGATTCATTCAATAACATTCTATGACACATTTGGAAGCAGGAGTGGCCTCCACTTCCTAAACAACTTGCCTCTGAAAACTATGAACTTAGATAAATGTTGATAGTTGTAGAGGGGCTTCAGGCCTTTTGTTCATAGGGTCGCTATGAGTCATGCTCAACTCAAAGGCAATCAACAACAATAAAATACTAGTTTATTTAGAAAATTCAAATACATTGTTTTCTAGAACAGATTCTTCCAATTTCTCTCAACTCCCCCATCAAATTATACAATTCCATAATTAACCCCCCCACCCCCACTGCACATCCTCATCCCACTGCTTTAACAACACCCCTACCCCCCCAGCCTTGGATCCTTATACTCATTCTACAATAATGGTTTTATACAATATTTGTCCTTGTGGGACTGATTTAGTTCACTCAGTAAATGCTCTCCAGTCCCTTCCAAGTTGGGTAATAATTTACAAAATCATTATCTGCTTCTTGAAATGCTCTCCTAATTCGGCTTCCAGGTCATCTGTCCTCTTGGCTGTGGACCCTGTCTCTCTGGTTTATTTTTCTCTTCTTGACCCTTAAAGGATGTCATCTCCCTCAGCTCTGTTTGAAGCGCTCTCTACTCTTACTGAACAGCGCCTCCCTGGGCTGACACATCCTCAACTGCCGAACTTCTAACTCACAGTTCTTCAAACTCATAAGTCTTCTTTACCCCTCCCGTCTCTCTACCCCTAAAATCTGTACTCCCTTACTTGTCTTCTCTTTGTCCAGTCAGTCTGTCTTTGAACTCAGTCAGTCAGTTGCTGTGCCCAGTTGCTTCCTGCCAATTCGACCTCCTATATATCTCTGCCAACCCTCTTCATTATTTTCTTGCCAAATCTCCAAATTTAATTTGTAAATGAAGGATCAGGCACTGTACTCAACTCTCTGTTGTTGATTTATACAATCAAACCATAGGCATAATTAAAGTTCCAGAGGGCAGAGATTTTTGTCTGTTATACTCACATGCTATATTTGTGGTGCTCAACATGCTTGCTCCCTTATGCCCCGAAGGCATTCAGAAATTATTTGCTGGATATGTTAAGATACTAACATAACTTTACAGACTGGTTCTTGAAGCCAAACTTTAATTTATCACTCCTCTATTAGAAAGCAAGCAATCATATCTTTGTGATCCTGAGCAAGTCACCTGGCTTCTTTGAATCTCTCACCTCTATAAAATGGGGAGAATTTAATACTTGCCTCACAGGATGGTATGTATCTCATCTTACTGTTTATCTCCAGAGAAAATGTAAACTGTAACTAGAATATAAATCCAAATGGTCACAAAATTAAAACCATAAAAACAGCTGATAAAGAGTCCACATAAGATCAGATGTCAAGTAATTGTCATATGTAATAAACTACTCAAAACTGGAGAGATGAATGTGTACTGCGCCGTCCACCCACTCACTCTACAATATTTACCATGAACCTATTCTATCCTGGACACCGTGGGTGAGGCTGGGGGAATAAAGGGACATGGTCCTTGCCTTACAGTAAATTATGAGACTTAATGAAACTCACTGAATTTAACTCAACTCATTGCTATCAAGTCAGAACCAACTCACAGCTGATCTTAAAGGGGTTTTGGAGACTGTAAATCAAATAGGAGGCGACTGCCCATCTTTCTCTTGTGGAGCAGCTGGATTTGAACAACCAGAGAGATGCTGCCCTTGGGTTAGTTGCACAACTTCCTATGGACTAGACTATCAGAGCTCCCTTTAAATGGAACAACTTATAAAGGAAAATACTTGGATAGAAATTCAAATAAAAATAAAATTTTCCTAAAGGGAAAGTATTTATTTGGATGAAGAATACAGAAATTAGGTCTGTTCAAGCATGGAAACTACTGAATTTCCTTTTCACTGTGAACCGGTTTTTGCATATTTGGCATAAACCAAGTGTTCCTTCCCTAAAGTAGTTTTTAAAAGTCCTTCATTCTTTTTTTTTTAAAGAGATAATCCTCAAAAAAGGACTTTTATTTTTTGCAAATTTCTTTTAAATGTGTGAGATTTAGTTGTTAAGAGAGATACATGTAAAAGCAGAAAAAGCAGTGAAAGATTCTGAGAAAAAGAAGCAAAAAAGTATTTAAGAATTTAATAAAGGAAAATTGTAAGTTTAGTACACTTCTGAGTTCCTACATACCCAAAATCAACAAAAACACATGTTATAGTAGTCTATAAAAAGACCAGATGAGAGTGGATTAAAAATGAGGCATCTCTCAATAGAAAGACAATCTATATTCCAATATGCTAATTTTGAAAATTAAAGAACAACGAATAAAGAAAACAATGGATTATGAAAAAAACCTATGAGTCAAAATAATAACTTTTCTAACTTTTCTAACCCAAGAGCCAGCAAGTGATAACACTTACCAACTTTTTCCCTGATGACACTATTTGCCTCCACAGTCAAAGCAGACGCTTCATGCCTCCCAGAATAGAGCTGAAAGTCTGGGAAAAAGTAGTTGGGGTCTTCGAGAAGCTGGCCAGGGGCACTGGGACTGTAACAAGCGGGAGGGGGACCTGTGGGGAGAGCAGAGTGTGTGTTAGTGCCCGGGAAGCCCTTGCTTCCTGTGTGACTCAGGAATGCCCATGGGACATTCCCCACATTTGTGCTGCTAGTGGGAGCTCTGTCTCTTTTTTTAATTCATAAAATTCCCAAGTTACTACTCAGAATTATCACAAGTCCAGCCACCCACCAATGAGGTCAAAACAATAATCATCAAGACGCGCTGAGCCCAGGCGTTGATACAGCCCAGTTCTCAGGGCAGCAGCAGCAGCAGCAAAACTCAACGTAACCCACCCAGCATGTCAGCAAGCTCGGTATAGTTAAGGTGGGGGAAAGGAAGGAGGGAGGTGGAGAGGCCCCCAAGGGAAAACTAAAATGGGAAGAACAGCTGCCTCCCGGCATATATAAAAGACACAGAGAGGGGCGGTCATTTTGCCAGGCCATGTGTTAGCAAGAGAATGTTCCAGCCCAGCACGGAGCACGCAGCCTCACTTATAAAGGCTTCTGGCGTCTCATGTTGCAGCGAGGATTCAGGGTTATGGGTTAGGGCCCTCCGCCAAGTGCCGGCCTTTCGGTTCCACTTTATCTGCCTTGCACAAACTGAAGCGTGTTTCCTGTTCCAGTTAAACATGACACTGTGTTCAATCCTACAGTAACTGGACATGAGATACCACGAGAACACTGATAGGGCACATTCAACGTCCCTGCAAACGAGTTCCTGTCCCGCTCCGCACTGATTGCTCTGCCTAGGCATGAAGTTTAAGGCTTTGGACGGCAAAAAGAAATTTCATCTACTCTGGGGACAGAGTCACTATTTTTTGCACTGCAATCCCAGAGGTGTTCGGTTTGAATCCACCAGATGCTCTGCTGGAGAAGGAGGGACAATCTCCTCCTGTACCAGTCAGATCTGATTTGATGGTACACACACACACACAAAATAATAAAAAAATTAAAGAAAAAACCAACAAAAAACCCTAATTTTTTTCTGCAATTACTTTCAGCGGGCAATTGGAAAATGTTTACTAGGTTTGTGATCTATAAGGCTGAAGCTGGTAGTAAGTGACCAATTTATATACTGAGAGCCACAGGCAGGCATGGACTCATTTTCTTCATGTATTTCTTCACCTTGGCACGTGAAACTGTAAAATCCTATTGTGTATATGTTCATATGTAAATATGCACATCTGGATCAATGAAAATATTTTGACAACTGGAGGACCTGTAAGTTTTAAAAGAAACCGTGTTGTTAAGTTCTGAGGATGAAAAGCAGTCTAAAGTGACAGCTTCCTCTGTCAGTATCCTCTCTGGGGTTGTAAGGATCAGCGTGGGGAAAAAGGTACAGTCACTCTTTGGTATCTAAGGAGGATTTGCTGCAGGACCCTCATTCATTGCTGTTGAGTTTGTTTATAATGATGCTCCACTGGGTGGCTAAGGTTGTAAATCACACAGGAGATCTTTCTTCTAGGGTCGAATCGCTGTAGACGTGCAGCTTTTGAGTTAACAGCTCACCTCCCATCAGACCACACTATTGGAGTTCCCTTTGTTCCAGGTCCCTGTCCCTTGATGCCAAAGCCCTAGGATGCTCAGATCACGTCTGCTTATTTTAAATCTTCTGAGGATTATTTATAATCCCTAATACAATGTACATGTGTACAAAGCACTTTATGCTCCCTCTTGGGCTCTGAGGGAGTGTTTTGACCACTGGCTTGTTGTCATCACGCAGACCACCCACCCCTCCAACCCCTCCACATTTTCTATCCGCAGCTGGTTGAATCTACATGTACAGAACCTGAGGACTCATACAGGCTTGACTGCAATCCCCTTTCAGAGCCTCATTGCTAAATCTACAGGCTGGGGTGAAAATGAGGACTCAGATCTGGTCACATCCCAAAGCAGAGCCTGACTTGACTTTGCTTCAAGCCCATGGGAAACACCAGTGGATTAGAGAAGGTGCAAGGTTCAATCTCAGCTGCACACCTAGGGAACCTTTAAATTGCACTGCCCGGCCCTCACCCAGATTTTTCCCATCAGACTCTCTGGGGAGAGGGTGTGAGCAACTGCAAGCCGTAAAGCCCCTTAAATGATTCCAATGTCAAGTCAAAGTCAAAACTTTGCAAGCTTGAACAATACAGACAGACTGAACATATTTTAAAAGCCCATTTGTGCCCCGACTCACATCTGCTCCTACCAAAGCAGAGAAGCAGAGAAGTTGAAGATCTACATACTATTAAAAAAAAAGTGCGGCATTTCCTTCAAAAGGATCTCAATTAGGAATGACATGTGCTGTATTATATTACAAACTTTGGATCATTCTAATCTAGTTACATAAGCAGGACCTTTAAGCAGTAACACAGCACAAATGGCGAATAAAATTGTGGTTGAAGGTAAAGATGTATTTAAATGGGAGTGTAGATGTGTGTGTACATGCACACATGAGAGTCAGAGCGCGTGAATGGCCGCGTGAAGAACGCCTTCACTTGGCCATTCCTGGCCACGACAGCATTTTCCACATGTTATCCAATGTCCTGCCAGCTTAGAGGAGGCTCAAGAGCTCTAAGCTACAGAACATTACACAAGGAGTAGTCTTTCCTGGGGTCCTTTGACAGAAGACGACTGAGATATGCAAGCTTGCACCAACTAAGGGAACACACACACACACACACACCCCAAAGCAGGATATCCAACTATATATCAATAATCATTTAAAAAGTTCACACAAGAAGAATTCCTTTTATATACACTCCTGGAGGTCCACACCTTTACAACAAGCTCCATTTCCAAAGTTGCCCCTCACTCCTCAGAGAGGCAGAGGGGCTTAAGGAGGAGGTTAGAACTGACCCATCAAGGTGCAGCCAGGGTGCTCACTGGATGACAAGGAGAGGGAACTTTTGTCTCACTTTGAGACATTGTTTGAGGTATGTTTGAGACACACTTGAGGTGTGTTGTCAGTAAAGGCCATTCCCTGGAGAAAGACATCATGCTCAGAAAGGTCGGAGGCGAAGACCTTCGACAACCTGGAATGACACAGTGACTGTCAAGGTAGGCTCAAGTATATCAAATATGATAAAGACTGCATAGCATAAGGGAGAGTTCAGATTCATTGTTCATAGCATTGCTATGAGTCAACAGCACTTAAGAACTGCAGAGAGATGGCCCAGGTGTTACTAGTGGCCTAGTGGTAACAAAGTGCACTGCAATCTCGAAGGCACCAGCTGCCTTGTGGGAGAAGGATGGGCAATCTCCTCCCGTGTGATTCACTGCCTCTGAAAACCAAAACGGTCAGCTACAGGTCAGTTCCAACTCCATAGGCTACAACAACCACAATGCATTTCACAGGGTCTTTGCAACAGATTCTTCGGCCTGCGGCATAAATACAAGATGCCCTGATCCCATCTAACATGTAACTTGTCCTTCTGGTCTTATTCTAGTAACAAAAAGAGTCTACATTTAAGAGTCCAGGATATTGGAAATAAGAAATTAGAAGTAAACAACATACAGCAAGATGGGTGGTGCTATCTTTCAGTGGTTCTCCAAAACTGGGTGGGGAAGCTGTGAGAAACCATGGGGACACCTGACAGCACCACCATCCAGACACCCCTGCAAGGTTTGCAGCCGGCTGCCACCCAGAGTCACGTTCACGGGCCAGTCCCTGTGCTACTGGCTTAACAGTGTGCATTATGTGTGTGGCACCTCCAGGACACCAAGGGGACTATTTCCACACAGGGTCTGCTTCCGTCAGTCAACTGCTTCACTCAGTAAACCTGCTTCTTCAAACCAGAACCCTGTCTGAGGACTATTGCCCTTACAAGCTTAGCCTGTGTGCAGAAACAGTCAAACAGCAACAGAACACAAACTGACATCATTGTACAGGAGTCTGTTCCAGGCTGGATATCTACTCCAGGAAAGGAGTAAGTGCACCTCATTTAGTCCACACTCCACAGGAAAGCTGAAGATCTGGAACTGCGTTTGTTCTGTACGTGACACAACGTGAAATTCTGGTTTGAGGTTCAACATTTCTGCCTCATATTAACAAAGACTCATTCACCATAAACTTTTTTCTTTATAAAGTCTGCATGTCATTTGTCAACATGAAGATTCATCTGCTCACATTCTCTTTTCAAGCAAGAAAGTTTTTTAAAATTGCTCTTAAGACACTAAGAATATCCTTCCGGTGATGGCTGTTTAGCCCATTACTTTCTTAATATTCAAGACCTTTAAGTAATGCAACCCTGGACAAAAAAAAATATCTTTTTTCCTCATTCAAGAAGAGCAATTAAAAAAGCTCCACTGCTGAAAAAAAAATAAAAATAAGGAGAAATGAAGGGCAATTTCTGGGGGAGGCCAGAGGCCAACAAGGACCCCTGGCCATCTGCTTCCCTAAGGCCAGCTCCTGAAATAGTAGACAAGCTAATGCAAGAGACAAATGAAATCTCCTTTAGATTTAAATCACAAAAGGCATTCACGATATATAGAGGGAAGATGGCGGAGGTGGAGAGCACAGTGTGAAGAGCCAGAGGGATAGCAGCCTGCATAGAGAGGATATCAGAGAGTACTTGACGCTCCACAGAGACTGACCATCACAACGTGACGCGAACAGTAGGATTTTGAATCAGAACTTTTGCTAATACATTATTTTAGAAGCTTTACAAACCGGAGCCCTGCCTGCCTGCCCTGCAGCGGTCCCGCAGTGGTCCC